TTTTTTTTTTTGAGACAGAGTCTCAAGCTGTTGCCCTGGGTAGAGTGCCATGGCGTCATAGCTCACAGCAACCTCCAACTCGAGCTTAAGCGACCCTCTTGCCTTAGTTTTTCTATTTTTAGTAGAGACAGGGTCTTGCTTTTTACTTTGGCTGGTCTCAAACCTGTGAGCTCAAGCTATCCACCCGCCCTGGCCTCCCAGAGTGCTAGGATTATAGGCATGAGCCACCACGCCTGGCCATGATAGGTTATATTTTCTATTTTGCTTTAAGAAATGTATTGATATTACCATGGATTAAATGACTTTTTAGCTAATTTTAAAATGGATATGTTTACAGTATGGTTTAACTATAGCATGGCAAGGTAAATAAGACATCAAAGACTGGGTGCCTATTGTGCAGTGGTTAGAGCACTGGCCTCATGTACTGGGACTAGTGGGTTCAAACTCAGCCTGGTCCTGGTAAACAGAAAAAAAAAAAACCCAAAAAATACATGAAAGACATTAGTGAATTCACTTCATATTGTTTCTGTGTTCTTAGTGAAGGATTGAAATTTTTCTTTTTAAGACAGAGTCTCACTATGTCACCCTCCGTAGAGTCCCATGACCTCAGCATAGCTCAGAGTAACCTCAGACTCCTGGGAATAAGCAGTCTTCCTGCCCCAGGCTCCTGAGTAACTGGGTCCATAGGCACATGCCACCATGCCCCACTAATTTTTCTATTTTTAGTAGAGATGAGATCTGGCTCTTGTTCAGGCTGGTCTCACACTCCTAAGCCGAAAGGATCTTCCTGCCTTGGCCTCCTAGCGTGCTAGGATTACAGGTGTGAGCCAACACACCAGCCAAAACAGTTATGTTTTATATACCAGTGGGAGTTGAATAAAATGCAAGATTTGCTGCTATTAAATGTAAACATTTGCTCTTTAAATTATTTTAGAAAGCAGAGTGAAAAGATGCCACAGGGGCAAATTTAAGTGCAAATTTAATGCACTTTAAATGAAAAGCAGCCTGGCACCCTCCCCCCAATTCCTATTTATAGGCATCTTTTAATAATTGACACAAATTGCATACTTTTAGAACAGTAATCTTCCAGTACTGTAATACATCCTTGTAGTTGTGCCTGTCCTAGTAACAGACCATGTGCAACTCATAATTGAAAAAAAAAATGTTTTCTCTTTGTCAAACATGTTAGTAGCATGCAGAGAGGAATATATTTGGGCCTGTCTTTGTAGAGTCTGGTCTAGTGACTAGAAGCAGTTATTTAACCAACTAATTATAAAATAAGAAGAATGAATAATGGAAATAAAAGGCACAGGTCCACAGTTACTTGGCTTTAACTTAAAAATCCAAAAAGCTTTTAAGACAGAATTTTTTTGGCAACTCATATGGTAGCAAAACCTGTCTGACGTGAACTAATTGAGGAAAAAACAGCTGACCTGAAATGACTTGAGGCGATTTTGAATCTTTATCCTGTTTAGTGTATCTATGCATGTGTTTTGCTGCGAAAATCTTATTTTCTTTTTTTAGTGAGAGTTGCCTTAAATCTATTGGAGATGTTACATAATATATCAAGTGGCATATGTATCATATGACCTTTGCAAATTTAGGGAACTTGAGATTTCAAAGCATATCTGAATCCAAAAGTTATAAGTAAAGGACTGTGGACCTGCATTATAATTTAACTTGAACAATTCTGATGAACATTTAAATTATTTCCTCCTTTGCTCTTCAAAAAATGCTTCTCAGAATTTTTTATTTTTATTTTTAAATTTTTATTTATCTGTTTATTTTGAGACAGTCTCACTTTGTTGTCCTTGGTAGAGTGCCATGGCCTCATAGCTCACAGCAACCTCAAACTCTCGGGCTCAAGAGATCCTCTTGCTTCAGTTTTTCATTTTTAGTAGAGAAGGGAGTCTCACTCTTGCTCAGGCTGGTCTGGAACTCTGTGAGCTCCAGTGATCCACCCACCTCAGCCTCCCAGAGGGCTAGGATTACAGGTATGAGCCACTTCACCTGGCCTGAGAATTTTTTACATGTGGAAGTGTATCTATAAGAAATAACAGAAATGGAATAAGAAGTATGTGATGGTTGTTTGTAATTTTGTAAGACATTGCCAAATTGCAAAACATTTTGCTATTATGAATTTTTTTTAAATTAAGCATCTTATTAAAACTAGCCATTTAAGGGCCGCACCTGTAGCTCAGTGAGTAGGGCTCTGGCCCCATATACCAAGGGTGGCAGGTTCGAACCCGGCCCCGGCCAAACTGCAACAAAAAAATAGCCGGGTATTGTGGCAGGTGCCTGTAGTCCTAGCTACTCGGGAGGCAGAGGCAAGAGAATCGCCTATGCCCAAGAGCTGGAGGTTGCTGTGAGCTGTGGCGCCATGGCACTCTACCGAGGGCAACAAAGTAAGATTCTGTCTCCAAAAAAAAAAAAAAAACCTAGCCATTTAAATTTAATAGAAAAAAATGTATTAGTTTGATATCTGAAAATGGGCATTTTCCAAATTACATATGCAGTAAATTTTGAAATTAGAAAGTATGAGTAGGCTTGGCACCCATAGCACAGTGGTTATGGTGCCGGCTGTGTGCACCGAGGCTGGCGGGTTCGAACCCAGCCTGGATCAGCTAAACAACAATGACAACTGCAATGAAAAAATAGCTGGGTGTGGTGCCTGTGGCTCAAAGGAGTAGGGCGCCGGCCCCATATACTGGAGGTGGTGGGTTCAAACCCAACATGCCACCATAGATGCAAAAAAAAAAAAAAAATAGCTGGGCGTTGTGGTGGGCATCTCTAGTCCCAACTGCTTGGGAGGCTGAGGCAAGATAATCGCTTAAGCCCAAGAGTTTGAGGTTACTGTGAGCTGTGATGCTACAGCACTCTACCGAAGGTGACATAGTGAGACTCTGTCTCAAAAAAAAAAAAAAAAAAGAAAGAAAGAAAGTATGAGTGAGTCCTCCAGTTTTTCTTCTTTTTCAAAATTGTTTTGGCTATTCTTGATCCCTCACATTTTCATATGAATTTTAGAATGTGCTTGTCAATTTTTGCAGAAAGACCAGCTGGAATTTTGATAGAGAATGCAGTGAATTGTATTTTGGGGAATATTGCAATCTCAAAAATATCATCTTCCAATCTGTGTTCTTAAAACATGGTCCAGTAACCAACAGTGTTGGCAACACATGGGGACTTTATGGAAATGCAGAATTTTAGTTCACCCCAGACCTTTCAGAATCTGCATCTTAAGTAGATCTTGGGTGATTCATGTGCATGTTACAGTCGAGACGCTTTGTGTATTTACTTTCAAAGTGTAACTTTTGTCAGTAGGACAGTCTGCTTTTAAAAGTGATTGATCACATTAATTGAGACTTTTGGAAAAAACTTAAGTATAATAAAGACATAATAATTTAAGTCATGTACCCAAAGCCCTAAAGGTAATAAAAGGATGAAAAATGTTTAAATGGAGTCCCACTACAATATCCATGAGATTGTTGGTAGGACCAAAAATATCATATTTATATTTTTAGCATGCTACCATATAGGAAGTACAAGGTCTGACAATTAAGTTTGTGAACTTCCCACCATGCATGTATGTTGACAACACTGTACAAACAACTCTAATAGAGTTTTATGACTTTGGTATATTAGTGTGTCACAGCTATGTTTGTGTTGATGTGTGGCAGTGTCTTACTGAGTGGAGTTTGTTACTGTTATTGCATGTTTTTTATGTGCCATTTGGAGAATGTTGGAGGTAGAATTAGAGCAATGAACAAACATTAAATTTCTTATTATAAACTTGGCAAGGTAGAAGTGAAATCAGGAACATGTTAGTCCAACTTGATGGGAATAATATCATGAAGAAAACAGCAGTATACAAATGGCTTAAACATTTTTTTGAGGGGAGAAAAAGCACCAGTGATAAAGAGAGGTCAGGGCATCCAGTAACAAGCACAACTGATGAAAACATTGCCAAAATTTATTGAATTGTGTGTTAAATCGTTGGATGACTGTGAGAAGCATAGTAGACCAAGTAAACAACAATAGAGAAACAGGAAAGTCTTAACTGAGAATCTTGGCATGAGAAAGGTGTGTGCAAAAATTATCCCAAAGGAGCTCACCACCAACAAAAGCAAAGGAGAGTTGAAGTTTGCCAAGACCTTTTGGAGATGTAAGACCATGTTTTGGGCTGTTATTGCTGGTGATAAAACATGGGTGTACCGATGTGACTCTGAAACCAAGTGTGAAAGTCCACAATGGAAACCAGCCAGTTCTCTATGAGCAGAATGTTCCATCAGTCCAAATCGAGTCATAACAATGTTGCTAACCTTTTTTGATATCAGAGTGATTGTTCATTATGCACATATACCAATTGGACAATTAACCAAGATTATTATTTGGAAGTGCTGAAAAGGCTGCATGAAAAAGTTAGATGAAAACAACCTGAACTTTTCACCAACAACTCATGGCTCTTGATTCAGGACAGTGTGCTAAGCTCACATGGCACCGTCTGTGAGGGTGGTTTCCACCAATAGACAAATAACTGTATTGGAACACCCTTCCCTTTTCCCTAATATGGCCCCTACTGACTTTTTTCTTTATTTGAAGATAAAGGAAATATTAAAAGAAGACATTTTGATGACATTCAGGAGATCAAGGGTAAATATGATGGCTGCTTTGATGGCCATCCCAGAAATCCAGAATTACTTTGAAGGGTGGAGTGCACAGCTTCCCAAGGGGGAGTATTTCAGAGTGATGGTGGTGATGTTCAGCAATGGAGTATGCAACACTTTTTAAGGACGAGTTCTAGAACTTAATTGTCAAACCTTGTATCACTTGACTTAAAAATAATTTATCCTCTGCCTTGTTCAGAAAGCTTCTAAGGATGGCTTTATCTTTTTTTTTTTTTGAGACGGAGCCTCACTGTGTCACCCTGGGTAGAGTGGTATGGTGTCACAGCTCACAGCAACCTCAAACTCTTGGGCTTAAGCGATTCTCTTGCCTCAGCCTCCCAAGTAGCTGGGACTACAGGCACCCGTCACAATGCCTGGCTATTTTTTGTTGTTGTAGTTGTCATTGTTGTTTGGCAGGCCTCGGCTGGTTTCAAACCCGCCAGTACCGGTGCATGTGGCCAGCGCCTGAGCTACTGAGCTATAGGCACTGAGCCAGCTTTATCATTTTTGTTGTTAACTGATAGTTGAAGGGATTTTTCTGTTTAGTAAAGAATATTACTAATTATATATAAAATCTTAACATTTTAATTAAAATTGATTTTATTAGTTACTTATAAATTACAGTAATTTTTAGAAATTATAGCATTATCATATGTTACCACACTAGCAATTAAGTGCTCATTTCATCTTTTAGATCTTGGTAATGTTCTGACTTCTACTCCAAATGCCAAAACTGTTAATGGAAAAGCTGAAAGCAGTGATAGTGGAGCTGAGTCTGAGGAAGAAGAGGCCCAAGAAGAAGTTAAAGGAGCCGAACAAAGTGATAATGGTAATTTTTGGATAATGGGTTAATAATTTTACATTAAATAAGATAAAAGGGTATGAAGAGATTTGGCCTGATTTGGTATCATGTAAGATTAGCACAGGTGATGATGGTATGTGGACTATTACCCCAATACCTAGGTTTTCTGAGGACCATCAGGCTCTACTATAGAATATAGGGACAGCCAGCCTTAGGCACGAATAGAACAAGTGTTAATTGAAGACTGATAAGAATAGGCCACTCCTCCAAATATGCTGCCTTAGACAAGTACTATTTTAAGCTATTGTTTCCAATATGAATATGCATACGTTACAAGGATAGGAGACAAGATAAATTCTTAATATCTTATCAAAAATGGAAAGGAATCCAAAGAATAGGATTCAGGCATATATTTGATGAAGAAGGAACATTAGAATCATGAGTGAGGCAGTTAATTAGGGGCCCTTCTTTGTCAGGGTACCAGTGGTTCAGTGGAAGATGATATAGGAAAGGAGACATGGAAAGACACAAATAAACCGTACAACTTGGTTTTGACTTCTCTTTATGGTAAGGAAAGATGAATGATACTTGGCTTTAAGGATTTTTTTTACTTGTTTTTAATTATTGCATTCCCGAAGGATTTAAGCTACATGGACCCCTTTTTACTGCTAGATCTCTGCCTGTGGCTAAGAGAGTATAAAGGCCTTTATAAATTTTTTTTAAAGTAAAGATTCACAGGAAATTGAAGCTGTTTTGAAACCAACAGTATTTGTGTGAGCTCTCAGCATATAGTAAGCCCCTTTTGAAGGAGCAGCCCAACTCTATAATCTGTGTAGGAAATTCTTTTTTTTTTTTGAGACAGAGTCTCACTATGTCTTCTTCAGTTAAGTGCCGTGGCATCACAGCTCATAGCAACCTCAAACTCTTGGGCTTAAGTGATTCTCTTGCCTCAGTCTCCCAAGTAGTTGGGACTACAGGTACCTGCCACAGTGCCCAGCTATTTTTTTGTTTCAGTTGTCATTGTTGTTTAGTTGACTCAGGCCGAGTTCGAACCCACCACCCTCTATGTATGTGGCTGGCACTGTAACCACTGTGCTACGGGTGCCCAGCCAGTGTACAGGAAATTCTTCAAAGGGATTATGGTAGGTTGGGAAAATGACTATTGGCTAGTAGGACATAGTATGCAGAAATTGACCTTCTGTGAACTTTTATGAATCTCCCTGTTTTTCTCATAAAAGATAAGAAAATGATGAAGAAATCAGCAGATCATAAGAACTTGGAAATCATTGTCACTAATGGCTATGATAAAGATGGCTTTGTTCAGGATATACACAGTGACACTCAGGCCAGTTCTTCCCTGAATGGCACAAGCACTGAAGAAGAAACACCTGCAGACCAAAACTTGGAGCAAGCTGGAAAAACTGCTGTCTGCATCCATCAAGGTGCATCCCCAAACACCTCTTTGTCCAGCCTCTTTCCTATGAATAAAATATTCTTTTAATAATTGTAGGATAGTTTAGAATTTAAAAATCTCTTACATGGTAATATCTTAAGAGTTTATTAATATTATGAAAGTTTATATCTTTGAAAGATACTGTGTTAGGGCCAGGGCTTTTATAGTTTTATCGAGTTATTATACAAAATTTTAAAATGAAACTTCTGGAATTTTTACCTTTATTCCTGATGTTTCTTTTAAACTTTGATGATGCCTGAGTAAGTGTATATATGGTGAGTCATTAACCTTGCTGCATTTGTGGTGAGAAACCAAGCAGCATTATTTGTTTTTTACTTTATTTATTTATTTATTTATTTTCATCTTTAATGTTTTAGTGATACACAATAGCTCTACATATGAACAATATCATTTTTTTTTTTTTGGAAACAGAGTCTCACTCTGTCACCCTGGCTAGAGATCTGTGGCATCACTATAGCTTACAGCAACCTCAAAGTCTTGGGCCTGAGCAATCCTCTTGCCTCAGCCTCCCGAGTAGCTAAGACTACAGGCACCTGCCATGATGCCTGGCTAGGTTTTCTATTTTTAGTAGAGACCAGGTCTCTCTCTTGCTTAGGCTGGTCTTGAATTCCTGAGCTCAAGCAATCCACCCACCTCCACCTTCCAGAGTGTAGGATTACAGCTATGAGCCACCACGCCCAGCCTTACCATTTCTTAATGTAACAACCAAACTTGCATAGTTGGATTCTACATTTAGGCTTCCTACCTGGTAGTTTTCTCTTATGAGGTTATTAGGTTTTGTAAGATTTCGTCTACACAGTGACCTCAAGGAATTCAATGAGAAAATAGTTTGTAATCTTTTTGAAGGAAAGTTATCAACTAATTTAAAGTTCTGGGAATTCAAAAGAAAGTGTGACTCAGTAAATCAGATTTGTTGCTCAGTGTGAAAATAATATAGGACTGATGAATTGGAATAAACTGGAATGAAACTGGAATAAATGTATCTCTCTTCTATTAGAGTATAATTATTCTGCCTGAACATTTGTTCATATTTAGATATAAATGATGATCATGTTGAAGATATTACAGGAATTCAGCATTTGACAAGTGATTCAGACAGTGAAGTTTACTGTGATTCTATGGAGCAATTTGGACAAGAAGAGGTAAAAATGACATTTTCTGATGGGTAAATTTTCACAGTGGTATATCAGAATTAAATATGCAACTTCTGTTGGTAGCAAATGTATATGCTATTTTTCACTTTGAAAATGTACCGCTAGGGTGGCGCCTTTGGCTCAGTGGGTAGGGTGCTGGCCCCATATACTGAGGGTGGTGGGTTCAAACCTGGCCCCAGACAAACTGCAACAGAAAATAGCCGGGTGTTGTGGTGGGCACCTATAGTCCCAGCTACTCAGGAGGCTGAGACAAGAGACTCGCCTAAGCCCAGGAGTTGGAGGTTGCTGTGATGCCATAGCACTCTACGCAGGGCCACAAAGTTAGACTCTGTCTCAAAAAAAAAAAAAAGAAAGAAAACATACCTCTAAAATGTTTATACATTTGTGTTTTTAAGTATTTTTTATGCATGAAAAAGTATATAAAATTCTGGAATATTCAAAGAAAATTAAGAATAATTATCTTACATGTATTATAATTTATAATATATGTATATTTATAAATATTCTGGAATAGGTGGGATGGAGATTCAGAGGAAAAACTTTATGCTAGTCCTTACGTTTAAAACATTGATTGTTTAAGAAAGTTGAACAAACAAATCTCCACACCAGCCTGAGCAAAAGCAAGACCTCATTTCTACTAAAATAGAAAAACTGAAGCAAGAGGATCACTTGAACCCAAGAGTTGGAGGTTGCTATGAGCTATGATGCCACAGTGCTCTACCCAGGGTGACAGCTTGAGACTCTGACTCAAAAAAAAAAAAATTTTTTTTTTCTTTTTCACATTGACTACCATTGGACTACAATTTTTAGTGGAAATACTTTTTACATTTCAGTTAATTAATATTCAGTATTGGAAGAGAAAGTTTGAAAAAAAAACAGAAGTCTATGAATTTTTTTTAAACTTTGATAATAATGAGGGTAGCTTTGACAGCTGCATTTCTGTTTGGTGTTTTTACATTTTTTCTCTGAAACTCAAGGTACTTTCCAAGTTATTTTTCTGGGCCACTAGTATCACATTTATTATTTGCCAGTTGCGATTTGAACATTTTCCTTTTCTCATTGATTTCCACGTATCAAAGTATTTTTTAACCTATAGCAGCCTCTCAAATGTGTCAATTAAACCTACCCTGCCTCTGTTCTAGTACAGTGCAGTGTGTCTTATAGAACATCATTTATCTTTTGCTTCCCTGAAATGATTTCAACTTTTTTCTGTTTTTCAATTTCATTATGCAATTAAATTTACCTCTTGGTTTTCTCAAATTTTAAAAATACAAGAATAAATGTATATTTTTAACTAAGGTCAAACACAAATGTGTAGCATAGATGGGAAGGATAACAAGACGGAGGCCAAATTGAGAATGAGCCGAAATTAGTGAAAGATGAATTGAAAAGGATAAAAACCCAGATTCTTTTTTATTTTCTCTTTTTAAAAAAAGATCTGTTTGGGGAAGGTTGGTGAAAGGCACTAAATAGGGATTAATCTCAGTAAATATCTGGCTGCTAAATTCTAGATTTGCTGCTGTTTTTTTCCCTAAATCAGTTAATGGGCTTAAATCCTTCATGGGACTCTGATCTGGCCCGTTTTACCTCCCTAGCCTGTTAATACCAGTCTGGTGTTTGGCTTTTGCTCACCACCCACCCAGGCCTTCTCTGTCTCTCTAATAATCAAATCCCTTTCTCCCTCCTCCAGTGTCAGCGTCTTTGCATTCATTTGGCTTGGAATGTACCTCTACCCCATTCACTGAGAGCTCTTGCACATCCTTTAAACCCTAACTCAGATGCCCATTCCTAAGGGAAACCTTAGCTAAGATACAGCCCCACCCAGAACCACCCTTACTAAGGCCAGGTTAATTACAGGTTATCATCCACAACCTGGCTTAGGTGGGTTCTTTAAAAAATTGATGTAAGAAATCCTTATTATCAGCTTTGGAGTCGTTGAAATACAAAGTACTTTCAAAGTTCTTTTTCTAGGGGCGGCACCTGTAGCTCAGTGAGTAGGGCGCTGGCCCCATATACTGAGGGTGGTAGGTTCAAAGCCAGCCCCAGCCAAACTGCAACAAAAAAATAGCCAGGCGTCATGGTGGGTGCCTGTAGTCCCAGCTACTTGGGAGGCTGAGGCAAAAGAATTGCCTGGGCCCAGGAACTGGAGGTTGCTGTGATCTGTGATCCATAGCACTCTACCGAGGGTGACAAAGTGAGACTCTGTCTCTTAAAAAAAAAAAAAAGTTCTTTTTCTAGACCACAAATATCACATTTTTTGTTTCCCAGTTGTGATTTGGACATTTTTCTTTTCTCACTTACTTCTACTTACAAAAGTGTTTTTTTCTTCTTTTTTTTTGCAGTTTCTGGCCAGGGCTGGGTTTGAACCCACCACCTCTGGCATATGGGGCCGGCGCCCTACTCCTTTGAGCCACAGGCACTGCCCACAAAAGTATTTTTTTTTAACCTATAAAAGCCTCTTGAATGTGTCAGCTAAGCATATCCCCCTGCATTACCACTTACTAATATTTAAAAAATGTTTGGTATATATTTATTTTATTGCCATAAAAGGTTTTAAAATAGTCTGGTAACACGACATCTAGGATTTGCTTCAGAATAATTCACGGGGAATGGGGTTGGGATAATAGGTGAAACAAGAGTGGCTCTGAAGTGGTAGTTGTTGACACTGGGTGATTACTTCTTTAACATACTGACTATAAGCTACACTTATTTATTCCTTTCTACCTTCTTTTCCCACTTCAGTGGATGACATGTTCTTCCCATTTAAAGCTAGCATCTGTGCTTTGCTTTCGGTCAGATTTCCTTCCATTTCCTTGAGTACCTTCATCTTTCTACACTGTCTTCAACCATTGTCTCTCTTCTGGCTCTTTCTTCCCAAGCTATACACATACTCATATCCCTTCTATCTTTAAAAGAAACTGCTTCCTTAACTTTGTGATACCCTCTCAGTGTTGTCTTCCCTCCCTCCTTCCCTTCATGGCCAAGCTTTTTGTTGTTTGTGTTCATTTGTTGATTTTATGTTCATTTACTTCAGTCACATTTGGCCATATGTGCTAATGTGCCATTGATACTGACTTGAATGTCATTAAACAATGGTAGTTATTCTTCCCTTGAAAATATGCCATTGGCTTCCATCACACACTTGTAATCCCAGCACTCTGGGAGGCTGAGACGGGTGCATTGCCTGAGCTCAGGAGTTCGAGACCAGCCTGAGCAAGAGCAAGACTGTGTCTCTAAAAATAGCTGGGTGTTGTGATGGGTGCCTGTAGTCCTAGCCAGTTAGGAGACTGAGGCCAGAGAGTCCCTTGAACCCAAGAGTTTGAGGTTACTGTGAGCTATGATGCAATGGCACTCTACCCAGTGTGATAAAGTGAGGCTCTGTCTCAAAAATAAATAAATAAATTTGGTGATCTTCAGTCATATGTTATATAACCCTGGTTATTACTTCCTTGATTTCAATTATCTTTCACATACTTTCAAAGTAACTCTAGTGTAGTTAGTGTATTTTTCTTCTTAATTTCAACTTTCCTCCTACACATTTTGCCTAGGGACCTCAGTTTTTACTTGCCTGTATAGCTACACTATTATCTTTTTCTATTACTCTTACTCTGAATCCTCTTTATGTTCTTTTTTTTTTTTTAAGAGGCAGAATTTTATTTTATCGCCCTCGGTAGAGTGCCACGGCATCACAGCTCACAGCAACCTCCAACTCCTGGGTTTAGGTGATTATCTTGCCTCAGCTTCCCGAGTACTGGGACTGCAGGTGCTGGCCACAATGCCCGGCTATTTTTTGTTGCAGTTTGAACGGGGCTGGGTTCGAACCCGCCACCCTTGGTATATGGGGCCTGTGCCCTACCCACTGAGCAACAGGTGCCACCCACTTACCCACTTCAATAATAATCTCTGATCCCTTTACTAAGACTGTAAGCTTCTTGCAGACAAGAACTATCTTCATAGTATCCCTAGATCGATTATCCATAGATACGAACTAAGAGAAATATAGAGATTTAAATGCTCCTTAAATGAATAACTTGTGAGAACAGTTCACTGCCCAAACTTCTCAGTTCTTTGCTCATGGACAAATCATTCCTGTTATATTACTTCCCTGCATATAGGAAGCAGACTATGAATTAAAGAAGTTTTTAAGAAAAAGAACATTTCCAATAATACCATGAAAGAATATTTTAGAAAAACAGCGTTCCTCGTATTATCATGAACACTTTGTGGTATGTAATTTTTTTTTCTGAGACAAAGTCTCACTCTGTTGCCCTGGGTAAAGTGCTGTGGCATCATAGCTGCTCACAGCAACCCCAAACTCTTGGGCTCAAGCAATCCTCTTGCCTCAGCTTCCCAAGTAGCTGGGACCACAGTGGCCACCACAATCCCTGGCTTGTTTTTCTATTTTTAGTAGAGACAGGGTCTTGCTCTTGCTCAGGCTGGTCTCGAATTCCTGAGCTCAGACAATTCATTCACCGCAGCCTCCCAAAGTGCTAGGATTAACAGGCATGAGCCACCACACCTGGCCTATAATTTTTTTTAATTTCAGTAGATTTGGGGGGTACACGGTGAATTCTGATACATGTGTATATATTATAGCAAAGTGTGGATTTTAGTGTACCCATCACCTGAACAGTGCACATTTACCCAATAGGTCAGTGGTTCTCAACCTTCCTAATGCTGTGGCCCTTTAATACCTTTAATACCTTTCAACCTGTCGCGACCCACAGGTTGAGAACTGCTGCATCCCTTCCCCCTCTCTACCTCCCGAAGTCTCCTCTGTTGTTCATTATAATGTGGTGTATGATTTGTTTATAGCTGTTCACCAAGTGTCATTTTAAATTTGCAGTCTTTAGAGAACTTCGCATCAAACAGTGGACCATTTCAACACTACTTGGGAGGTGATCCCAGTCAGCCCGTAGAACATTCTGGTTTTCCTGAAGATGTTCAAATACCTCCTGGCAATGGTAATATTGGGAATATGCAGGTGGTAGCAGTTGAAGGGAGAGGTGAAGTGAAGCATGGAGGCGAAGATGGCAGAAACAACAGTGGAGCACCTCACCGAGAGAAGCGAGGGGGAGAAAGCGAGGAACTCTCTAACATCAGAAGGGGGAGAGGTGTGCCTTACCTTTTCTGTTCTTACTGTCTTTATAACCTAACTGACAAATTTTTCTTTATGTCTAGTTCTGTCCTTTCGCTCCACCAGCATAGTGGTGTGTTCCCCAAAAGTAATGGGGAAAACATTTGAGACAGGGTCTTGCCCTGTTGCCTGGGCTAAAGCGTAGTGGGATCATTGTAGCTCACTACAGCCTCATGCTTCTGGGTTCAAGCTGTCCTCCTGCTTCAGTTTCCCAAGTAGCTGGGACTACAGGTGCCATGATATCCAGCTAATTTTTCTATTTTTTTGCTCAATCTGGGCTGGAAATCCTGAGGTCAAGCAATTCTCCTGCCTTGGGCTGCCAGAGTGCTAGGATTATAGGCAGAAGCCACTGTGCCTAGTTTCTATACTAGGATTTTAAAAGTAGGAAACAAAATCATGTGTATGAAAGGGGTAATGCCAATTAAAAAATTTATACCTAGAAAAAGGAATGGATGGATATATCGATATATCAGAAAATCTTTTTCTTTTTCTTTCTTTTTTTTTTTGAGACAGTACCTGAAGCTATCGCCTTGGGTAGAGTGCTATGGCATCACAGCTCACAGCAACCTCCAACTCCTGGCCTCAAGCGATTCTCCTGCCTCCGCCTCCCAAGTAGCTGGGACTATAAGCGCCCGCCAAAATGCCCGGCTATTTTTTGGTTATAGCCATCATTGTTGTTTGGCGGGCCTGGGCTGGAAACCTGCCAGCTCAGGTGTATGAGGCTGGTGCCCTAGCCGCTTGAACCACAGGTGCCGAGCCTCTTTTTCATTTTTTCCAGACAGAGTCTTACTCTGTCACCCTGGGTAGAGTGCTGTGACGTCATAGCTCACAGCAACCTCAAACTCTTGGGCTCTTGCCTCAGTCCCCTGAGTAGCTGGGATTGCAAGTATGTGCCACTATGCCCAGCTGGTTTTTCTGGTTTTTTTAGTAGAGATGGGGTCTCTCTCTTGCTCAAGCTGGCCTCGAATTCTTGAGCTCAAGCAATCTACCTGCCTCAGCCTCCCAGAGTAAAAAAATCCTAATAGTAGTGAGATTTTTTTTTTATAGCATAACTGTGTACATTAATGCAATCATGGGGTACAGTGTGCTGTTTTCATGTACATTTTGAAATACTCTCATCAAACTGGTCAAGATAACCTTCATGCCATTTTCTTAGTTATTGAGTTAAAATGATCATACTGTGCTTTTAGAAAGATTCACTTGTACCCTTGTAAGATAAACCATAGAGGTGACCCCACCAATCTCCCTCCCTCCCCCCATCCACTCCCCTCACCTTGCCCTCCCACCCCCTTCCCATATTCTAAGGCTATAATTAGGTTATGACATTCCTATAAAAGCTATAGATTTTTTTTTTTTTTGCGACAGAGTCTCACTATGCCACCCTTGGTAGAGTGCTGTGGTGTCACAACTCACAGAAACCTCAAACTCTTGGGCTTAAGAGATTTTCTTGCCTCAGCCTCCCAAGTAGGTGGGACTATAGGCACCTGCCACAATGCCTGGCTATTTTTTTTTTTTTTTTTTTGGTTGCAGTTGTCTTTGTTTAGCAGGCCCAGGTCAAGTTGGAAACTGCCAGCCTTGGTGTATGTGGCCTGCACCCTAGCTGCTAGGCTATAGGCACCAAGCCGAGATTTTAATATCACTAAGGAACATGCAATTTAGAATAGAAAAACACATTAAAAAAACCTTTTTGAGGCAGGGTGCCATGGGTCATACCTGTAATCCTAGCACAGTGGGAGGCTGAGGCAGGAGGATCATTTGAGCTCACAAGTTGGAGACCAGCCTGAGCAAGAGCAAGACCTCTGTCTCCAATAAAAATAGAAAAATAAGCTGGGCATTGTAGTGGGCACCTGTATTCCCAGGTACTTGGGAGGCTGAGGCAGGAGGATTGCTTAAACCCAGGAATTTGAGGTTGCTATGAGCTATGACACCATGGCACTCTAGCCTGGGCGACAGAATGAGACTGACTCAAAACAATTTAAAAAAACCCTTTTCACAGGATTATAATGTAATTAAACCAAAACCAACCAGAAACAAGTATTTAGTGTGACTTTTAATACTCTGGAGCATCTAAAATTGAATGAAAAATTTCAACATTTTCAGCCTTATTATCTTGTTAGTAAAGAATTTTTTAGCATGCATTCCATACATGCATATTGTGAATTATATACACATAATCATGTACTAGTATATTATGTATATCCTAAAACCTTGGCAAAAAACAATTTAGGAATCTATCCGTATAAAGAGTAGTATATATATATATATATATCTTTCTTTGATCCCAACAATTTTTTTTATGTACTCTCCAGTTGGTTCTACTCTACTTTGGAGATTTAGATCGCAAAGAAATAACAGGATATTACATAAAACAGTTTCTACTTTTATGAAAATTATTTTAAATGAACCGATTTTCTCTTTTAAAATAGGGCACAGGATGCAGCATTTGAGTGAAGGAACCAAGGGCCGGCAAGTGGGAAGTGGGGGTGACGGGGAGCGCTGGGGCTCCGACCGAGGCTCCAGAGGCAGCCTCAATGAGCAGATGGCCCTCGTGCTCCTGCGATTGCAGGAGGACATGCAGAATGTCCTCCAGAGACTTCACAAACTGGAAACACTAACTGCTTCGCAGGTAAGCTGGCAAGCTTGTCTTGTGCTGGTCTCCCACTTGTTGATCTGTGAAGCAGTGTAGGACCTGGGGTAGTCGGATTTATACAAATCAATGTATTTTTAGTGTTTTTTGTAAAAAAAAAAAAAGGGGGGGGCCTCATTTTGAAAATACTGTTTAAGAAAAAACTGATCCAGAAGCTAAAGATCACTTAAAATAACTAAAAATTTTCAGAGTGTAGAATTGACAGTACCTCTGCTGGAGGTAGGAGTCAGGTGATTGATACTGGAAGAATAATTGCTGCTAAATAGTGCAGTCTGAGCAACAACAAAGAGACTTTACTGATACCCCACGGTCAATCATTACTGAGTCTAGCATTGTCTTCTATCTTGAATGCTTTCTAAGATGCTGGTAGATTTAGTGCATTAACTTACTAATTATTATTATTATTTTTTGAGACAGAATCTCACTTAGTCACCCTTTGTAAAGTGTCCTGGAATCATAGCTTACAGCAATCTCACATTCTTAGGCTCAAGTGATTCTCTTGGCTCAGCTTCCCAAGTAACTGGGACTATAGGCACCTGCCACAACACCTGGCTATTTTTAGAAATGGGGGTGTTGGCTTGGCGTCTATGGCTCAAGTGGCTAAGGCGCCAGCCACATACCCCTAAGGTGGCGGGTTTGAATCCAGCCTGGGCCCGCCAAACAACAATGATAGGTGCAACCAAAAAAATAGCCGGGCATTGTGGCAGGCGCCTGTGGTCCCAGCTACTTGGGAGGC